CCGTGAGTGTGTGGCAGGAGGAGAGAAGGGTGGAGGGGCCGAGGGGACAGTTGCTGTGGTGGCTTCAACAGAAAGAGAATTGTGGCATGGCGGGAGCTCATCTGCTGGGTTGAAGGAGGAGGAGTCCTGGGTAGTATTTTCTGACCCTTTGGAAGCAGGTGTAGGGGAGATGAGAGCTAAGAGGACTTGTGCAGTAGAGCAAGAGTTGCAGAGAGAGGGCTGAAAACGTAGAGAGAAGAAAGCCTGAACATATGATATCTCTTTCCATTTTCCTGAGTGCTCACAATAGTTGAAAAGATCCCTGATAATATTGGGATCTAGAGTGCCGTTAAGTGGCCATTTAGAGTCCAAAGGATATTGAGGCCAGATCTGATTGCACAAATGGATAAGTTTTGGGGGTTTAGGTCCTGGGTAAGAGAGACTCTAGGTTAGCCAGGAGGCAGCCTAGAGGACTATGGGAGGGAATGGATAAGGAGCCACCTATGATGAGATTTAGGAGGTGAGTTTAGAGGTGGGGCATCCCCTAGTCTCTAGAATTACCCAGTTGAGAGGATGGTTACATTCAGGGGGTCATCACCACCACTTCGTAAGCGTAGGGGGGTAGGGCCCTTAGAGGCACTTAGGCATCCAGATGGGACTATATAGGGGTAGAAGCCATAGAGATTAACCCAAGGCCGAGAGGTAGTCTCACCAGGAACAACTCCCAATCACCCTCGGTGGTTTTTCTCAAAATCCAGGACCCCCCCCCCCCGAAAAAAAATCACTTAAAGATTTGGTTGGCAGTAGAGATCAGCTGTAGCTGTGAAAGCTATGGCTGGGGGTGCTCTTGACCACACAGTAACCCTGGGAGTGCAGGACAATCAACAGTCACTTCCTGGGACCCATAGGTCTTTTAGGTTGACTGGAGACAGGGGTCTTACCTGAAATGTCTGGTGGTAGGTGAAGAGAGGGAGTTTGGCAGAATGGAGGCCTGGTCCCACAATGGATTTTGATTGTGGCCCAAGGATGCTCAGTGACCCTCGAAGAGGGGAGCAGGCATACCGGGGAACCCAAATCTGGGTTTCAGCGCCAATGAAAGGAAAGTGAGGAACAGAGAGATGGGTGAGTGAGAAATGAAAGATCCAGACCAGGCAGAAATACACACAATAAAAAGGCCATCTCTCCATAGATGGAGAGAGGCAAAACAGGCTTGGGGTTTGGAACTTTTATGGGGTAGGCTCAGGGATTAGAGCTGGGCAAGTCCTAATATGGTAGGTTAATGGTGGGGTTGGTATGAGGGAGTGGTGAGCCTTTCTCAGAAATGCCCTTGGGCAGGAAAGCAAAATTTTTCTTAAAATGGTGGCCATCATTTAAGATGGCCATCCAGATGCTAAGCAAGGACCTTACACTTAGTTTGGTAAATTTATTTATTTATTTATTTTATATCTTTATTTTGTTTCTATGTGGTGCTGAGAATCGAACCCAGTGCCTCATTCATGCTAAGTGAGCATGCTACCACTTGAGCCACATCCCCAGCCCCAGTAAATTTATTTTTATTTTTAAAGGAACCTCTATACTCTTTTCCATAGCTACTGTACCATTTTACATTCCCATCAACAGTGCACAAAGATTTCAAAATTTCCATATCCTTTCCATCTTTGTTTTGTTAAAATTTCTGTTCTCTTTTTTTAATAAATGTTTCAATTGTAGGTGGACACAATACCTTTATTTTTTGTTGTTGTTTTTATGTGATGTTGAGGATGGATCTCAGTGCCTCACACATGCTAGACAAGCACTCTACCACTGAGCTACAACGCCAGCCCATTACTTTGTTTTTTTAAAATAGCATTTTATTTTATTATTGAGACAGGGTCTTGCTAAGTGGTTGAGACTGGCCTTAAGTTTACAATCCTCCTGCCTTAGCCTCCTCAGTTGCTGGGATTACAGGCACGTGTGACACTATGCCTGGTTTGTTTTTCTGATAGTAACTACCTTAAAAAGTGAGATGGTATCTCAGGATTTTTATTTTATTTTTTTTAAAGAGAGAGTGAGAGAGGGAGAGAGAGAGAATTTTTTTAATATTTATTTTTTAGTTCTCCGCGGACACAACATCTTTGTTTGTAATGTGGTGCTGAGGATTGAACCCGGGCCGCACGCATGCCAGGCAAGCGCGCTGCCGCTTGAGCCACATCCCCAGCCCCCAGGATTTTGATTTGTTTTGTTTTTATGGTGCTGGGGGTTGAACCCAGGGCCTTATGCATGCAAGGCAAGCACTCTACCAAATTAGCTATATCCCAGCCCTTAGGGTTTTGATTTGTATTTCCCTTATGGTTAGTGATGGGCACTCATTTATTTATCGCCCCCCCCCCCCGCCTTTTTTTTTTTTTTTTTGGTACTAGTGATTGAGCTCAGATGTACTTAACCACTGAGCTACACCCCCAGCCCTTTTTATTTATTTTATGTAATTTAAATATTTATTTTGGTACTGAGGGGTGCTACCACTAAAATACATCCTCAGCCCTTTTTATTTTGAGACAGGGTCTCACTAAGTTGCTGAGGGCCTTGCTAAATTGTTGAACTTTGCCTTGAACTTTTGAGATACTCCTATTTCAGCCTTCCATGTTGCTGGGCTTACAGGGGTGTGTCATGGCGCCGACCCCAGTCCTTCCTTTTTTTTTTTTTTTAAATTTTGAGACAGGGTCTCGCTAAGTTGCTGAGCCTCAAACTTGCTGTCCTCCTGCTTCAGTCTCCTGAAACACTGGGTTTATAAGCATGCGCCACCATACCAGGCTAGCCTTTCTATTTTTTGTGTGTGGGGAGGTTACTGAGAATCAAACCCAGAAGTGCTTTACCATTGAGCTAAATCCCTAGTCCTTTTTAATTTTGAGGCAAGTTCTTGCTAAATTGCTGAGGCTGGCCTTGAATTTGTGACCCTCCTGCCTCAGCCTACCTAGTCACCGGGATGACAGCAGTGTGCCATTATACCTTTTGTATTCTTTTTTGGGGTACTGGGGATTGAACTCAGGGGCCCTCCACCACTGAGCCACATCCCAAACCCTATTTTGTATTTTGTCAGAGACAGGGTCTCACTGAGTTGCTTAGTGCCTTGCTAAATTGCTGAGGCTGGCTTTGAACTCTGGATCCTCCTTCCTCTGCCTCCCAAGCCACTGGGATTAGAGATGTGCACCACTGCACCTGGCCTGGCATTCATATTTTTAATTCTCTAATTATATGCAGGAATATTTGAGAACATTGACTTTAAGGGATGTACAAACACGAAATTCTGAAGAGTAATCTGAAGGCCATATTTTTGGCTGGGGATACTGGGGATTGAGCCCAGAAGTGCTTTACCACTAAGCCACATCCCCAGCCCTTTTAATTTTTTTTTTTTTAAATTTTGAGACAGGGTCTCACTAAATTGCTTAGGACCTTGCTAAATTGCTGCTGCTGGTCTTGGAAATTCTACCTCAGCCTCTGGAGTCCCTGGGATTACAGGAACCTGCCTCCACGCCCTATTGTTCTTGACTCTTTCAGAAATGCCTGGCTCTCTAGGGAAATGTCCCTCTCTTTTTTTTTGTAGTACTGGGGATAAAACCCAGGAGTGCTCCACCACTGAGCTACAACTTCAGTCCCTTTTAATTTATTTGAGACAGGGTCAAATTGTTGAGGCTAGTCTTGAACTTGTGATTTTCCTACTTCAGCCTCCAGAGTCCCTGGGATCACAGGCCTGTGCCACTTTGCACAGTGATGGTATCCCCAGCCATTTTTTTTTAATGTGCTGGGGAGAAAACCTCATGCACTCTACCACTGAGTGACATATTCAACCATTTTTGTTTTTTTATTTTGACACAGGATCTCCCTAAAATTGCCCAGGATGACCTCAAATTTGAGATCCTCCCTCAGGTGTGGCGGAGCATGCCTGTAATTCCAGTAGATTGGGAGGCTGAGGCTGGAGGATCATGAGTTCAAAGCTAGCCTCAGCAATTTAGGAAGACTGTTTCAAAATAAAAAAGGGCTGGAGATGTTGCTTAGTGGTAACATCTTAGTGGAAGCATCCCAGGGTTCAATCTATGGTACCAAAAAAACCCAAATTGAGATCCTCCTGTCTCAGCCTCCAGAGTTTCTGGGAGGAATTACAGGCTTCTGTTGCCACACCCAGCTTGCATCTTACATTATGACTCTTCTTCAGGCAATCTAGATGTCAGGAAGCAATCAAAGTGGACTAAGGTTTTCAAACTTCCAGGGAATAATCTGCACTTGAAGTGAAATGCAAACTATAGGGAATTTATAGCAAAATAGGAAACCTTTAGTCATTTCCTTTAAATAACCCTTAGTAAGATTCTTTTTCTAAAGCAAGTTTTCTTCAGCAGTGAAAATAAAGGGACTGGGCCGGAGCAGTAGCTCAGTGGCAGAGCACTTGCTTTGCGTGTGGGAGGCACTGGGTTCAATCCTTAGCACCACATAAAAATGAAACAAAATATTCTGTCCATCTAACTAAAACAAATGAAAACTGGGCAAAACCCATTTAAACCAAGACCTAATATTAAATATATTGATTCTAAGTGTATTCTTTTCTTTTTTTTTTTTGATACTGAGGATTGAACCCAGGGGTGCTCAACTACTGAGCCACATTCCCAGCCCTTTTTTATATTTTATTTAGAGACAGGGTCTCACTGAGTTGCTAAGTGTGTCATTAAATTGCTGAGGCTGGCTTTGAACTCGCAATCCTCCTGCCTCAGCCTCTGGAGCCGGTGGGATTAAAGCATGTGCTGGGATTAAAGCATGTGTCACAGCGCCTGGCCAAAGTGTATTCTTAAAAGAAAATTTCAATGCATATTTTTAACTGATTTGTAGTTATAATGATCTCCATTAGCATTTCACAGCTTTTTCAGAAATCTCACTACAGAGCATCCTATATTCCAACTGATTTAATTCAACACCAAATTGGGTATCACATTGTATCTTTCAAATTTAAACACATTTTTAAATAGTTTACAAAATAGAACAATAGAGCAGGAAAGTACACAGAAATGATTTATTCCAACACATTTCTTAGGATAAAGAAATACATCCAGAGAAGTTCAAGTGACTTGCCTATGGTCATAGAACTAGACAGAGATAGAACAAAGACTAAAAGTCAGATCTGTTTATTTCTTTTGGTGTTTCTACTCCACATTTACAAATATATTCTTGTCCAGTCTCATATAACTTGATAATCTGCAAGGGAAACACTTTCAAATCTATTTTTTTGCTATCAAAAGAGAATTATCTAGTCAAGGAGTGGTGTTCATGGACAGGGACAAAAAGTAAATCATGTATTGAAAACAACCATTTGTCTACTCATCTTAGATGTTTTATTAATCTAATGGGTCACATTATAAAGGCCCATGTATGCATTCCTAGAATGTATCTCAGTTGAGAAATATTTAAGGAAATTGTGCTATCAAATGCACTATCACTAAGGAGAATAAAATTTTAAGTTAATTGTAATTTCAAAATGGAATATTCTAATTTTACAATTATTCTTTAGAGTTTTAGTTTATTTGGGGACAGATGATTGAACCCTAGGACATTCTACCATTGAACTATATTCCCAGTCCTGTTTTATCTTTTTGAGACAGGGTCTCATTAAATTGCTGAGGCTGGCCTCCAACTTGCAATCTTCTTGCCTCAGCCCCAGGGTCAGTTTGTGCCACCATGACTGGCTTCCTTTAGTGTTTAAATTGATCCCTCTTTAGCCAGTAATCAAAAACTCAAAATTTAGATTGTAAGAGTTTATTGATATGGTAAAAAAGTAAACAGCCAGACATTTGGTTACTTTTGCCACTATAATGTGTCATTTTAATTTTTTTATGAGTAAAGTAACAGAATTTATCTTTGAAACACACAGAATGGAGCTCCTACAAGGGAGGGGTCCCAAGAGGGTTGCCCATGTGTCATTTTAATACTATCTTTAAAATGAATAACAAATTATATTTAAACCATTACTAGAAAAATTAAGAGTCTACTTAAGGCACTTCAGATGAAAGCTAATTTCAAAATTTCCACAAAAGGAACACTACTTTAAGTGTAGCAAATCTGCTTTCCACATTTTTTAGACAGAATGCTTTCTCCTTAGAGGAGAATGTGCTCTTAAAGGGAGACAAAAGAAATACAAAAAACTGTCATTATTTCAATGACCATGGCAAATTATCTGGAGCAATACAGATTATATGGCAGTAGTATTCCCCTGGTCAATCTGAAAATTAGGGCAACTTCATACAAGTCTCATAAGAATCACAGCATAAATTTATTTGGCCTGAGACAAGTACAAGAATAGCAGATAAGGAATCCAGAACCACCAATTTACAGGGGAGTAATTAACTAAAAAGTGGTTCCATTAAAGAGTATGATGGGGGGGAACATCAGTATCCTCCCGCACCCATCAAATCTACTAACAAAATAAAAACAAAAACTCACACAAAACCTTTCTTCAGAGGCAATTATAGCCATCTCCTTTCATAAGACTCTAAGTCTTTGTGTGTGTGGCGAGAGGTGGGTGGGGGTAACAGGGATTGAACCCAGGGGTGCTTTACCACTGAGCTACATCCGCAGCCCCCCCCTTTTTTTTTGAGATAGGGTCTCACTAGGTTGTCCAGGCTAGCTTCAAACTTGCAAACATCCTGTATCAGCTTCTCCAGATGCTGAGACTAGAGGCATGAGTCACTGTGCTCAGCCTGTTATATAAGACTTTTAGACCATGTTAGAGAGTAAATAGCAGGAGGCAACCACTCTATCTTCTTCTTCTTCTTCTTTTTTTTTAAATTAGGGATTGAACTCAGGGGCACTCAACCACCAAGCCACATCCCCAACCCTATTTTGTATTTTATTTAGAGACAGGGTCTCACTGAGTTGCTTAGCGCCTCAATATTGCTGAGGCTGGCTTTGAACTTGGCAATACTCCTGTCTCAGCCTCCTGAGCTGCTGGGATTACAGGCGTGTGCCACCGTTCCTGGCTCACAGTATCTTCTTAATGTAATACTGCCACGATTTCGTTAAAATTACAATTCTCAAACTTTCATAATAGTGGCATTTTAGGTTATTCTTCATAAGTATGGGGAGTTATAGTTAGATATATAATGATAGTTACAAAAACATAACTTACAGAAATTTGGTTAGCACATATGATTATTTCTACTGTAGAAAAAAAAAAGACAAAATTCAAACAAAACCCTTCAAACTAGGAAGCTGTACTCTGTTGTTGTTGTTTTACATTTCTTTTGAGATGGGGACTCACTATCTTGTCCAGGCTGACCTTGAATGTTTGGACTCAAATAATCTTCCCACCTCAGCCTCAGACTGGGACAGGCACATGCTACCATGCTAGCTTTGTTTGTTTACTTAAAGGAGAAGAATAAAGGCTAAAATAATAACAAAAACAGAACAGCTCTCACAAAACAATTTCTACATACAGGCAATAATTCAATATTTCATAATTTTCTTTTCCCATTCTAAGGGAGCCCTTTCTCTAAATACAACTGAGCCTATTTTTCTATTAGGTAAAAATGAAAAAAATGGACAATTTCTAACCTACAAAAACATTTTAGACCATGTTATAAATTACACAGATTTTTATCACTAAACTATATTGTTATTAGAGATGGACCAGCTTACATAAAACTAAGGAGATAAAATGAATCTTAAATCCTTCCAAATACAAGGTAGTCAACACCATACTCATATAGAAATCACAATCCTGTATTTAGAGATACTTTTTAATGTCTACAGCTGTCAAGAAGCATAGATAGCATTGTATTTCAGTAGGAAAGATGCAAGGAAGACTGGTCTTTCTAAAAGCTAGACCTGTATGCTGAAGAATCGTGTTGCATTTTCACTACACCATGTAGCACATATAATTTCTTTTATATATATACACATTTTTTTTCAGTTGTCAATGGACCTTCATTTTATTTACTTATATGCAGTGCTGAGAATTGAACCCAGTGCCTCACACATGCCAGGTAAGCACTCTACCACTGACCCACCATCCCAGCCCCATACACACGATTTCTTGACCCAGAAATAAGTGTTTGTAAAATATACACATCCATGCAAATATGGAAAAGCTAAGAATGGCTTCCTGATGCAGATTATCTTTAACAGGCCTCTGTGGGAATACCTGGTCCCAACTTTCATTCCCCATCTTTGAATAAGAGAATATAAAACCAGATGACCAAAAGTAACCAAAAGCAACTAAAGTAGTTTTGAGCTTTCTTCTAATTAAATGAAGTAGTAGTTTTAAAATTTTATAATGTAATTAATTCTACAAAATTAAAAATTCCACAAAATTCACTTGGAAGAAAAGGTTAAGAGGAGAATAATTTCCAAATACTTCATGATTTTGACAAGAAATTGATTGTTAAGGCACTACACATCTTCTTTGGTTAAATGATTAACTATTTAAATCACTTGAAAACAAGAGGTAATACAGAATACACAAGTTGCATTCTTCTTTTCAAACACACACACATTTCTTATTTTTCAATTTCCATTACTGCAGTGTTTACATATCTCTGGAATCCTTCTCAACTCATCAGAAAGCTGAAACAAAAACATATACCACTCCATTAGTCTCTGAAAGAAAAAAAAAACTTTACTTCTAACAAATATACAATATGTTGATTTTAGCAGATCAAAGAACATTTTGGGAATTGTATCTGAGTACCAATTACAAAAAGTGAGAAAAAATGAGAGATCAGGTAGTCTTATGACAAAAGAAAATAGACATAACCTCAACTTCTTCTATTCAGAAGATCCTCAAAAGAAACAATAATTAATAGTTGAAGTAACCCCAGTAATCAAATACTTGCCAATTGTTAGAAGTCTCAGCAAAATCACCCTTGCATCTGAATTAGTTTTCTCCAAAGGAGAAGTCATTTAAACACACACACACACACACACACACACACACACGAATAAGCATAAATTTAGAAGATTATAAGAATTGAGGTTTTAGGAGTTTTCTGGTTTAAAAATTAAATAAGTTCACAAAAAAGCTGTGCACAAAGGTACATGCCTGTAAATTCAGTTACTTGGAAGGTTGACGCAGGAGACTGCAAGTTTGGGGCCAACCTGAGCAAATCAGTGAGACATCGTCTCAAAATGAAAAAGAAAAAAATAAAGAGCTGAAGATATAGCTCAGTGGTAGAGAACCCCTGGGCTCAATCCCCAGTAGTGTAAAAGAAAAAAAAAATCGCACAAAAAAGAAAAATACAAGATTAATTGATATTGTACAATGATCAAAAGCTAATAATGCTACAATATAAGTCAACTAGGATTTTTTCAAAATTAGGTTTAAAATTTGGAGTTTAAAAAAACAAATATATATGAAGAGTAGATGGCGGTATAGCTCAGTCCATAGAGCGCTTGCCTAGCATGTATGAAGCTATGATTTGATCCCCAACACCACCGCAGCCCACACAGAGGAGCAAATTTGCATCTCGAAGGATGAATTTATATACTTTTAGTGTTCATAATCTTTCATAAAATAGATATTAGATTTTAAGAAATATAAATTACATTAACTGACACTCTGATTATAAAAATAACTCACAGCATGCCCCATTATGTAGGTAATATTTCTCTTGCCTATTAATGTAGTAAAATCAAGAACATGCAACCAGAACAATTTTCTCCCTGAGTCTTAGGGATCTCTAGCAACATCTCAAACTGATTAGGACTTTTTTTTAATTTTTATAGAGAAAGTGTCTTGCTATGTTGCCCAGGTTGGCCCCAAATTCTGGGGCTCAAGTGATTATCCTGCCTTAACCCCCAAAGTAGCTTGGTCTACAGGCTTGAGCAACTGGGTCCAGCTTGAACAGACCTTCCTAAACACTCTTATACTCTCAACAAACAAACTTCTTTTTTTTTTTTTTTTTTGGCACCAGGGATTAAACTCAGGGGCAATTGACCACTGAGCCACATCCCCAGCCCCATTTTGTATATTTAGAGACGGGGTCTCACTGAGCTGCTTAGTACCTCGAATTTGCTGAGGTTGGCTTTGAACTCATGATCCTCCTGCCTCAGCTTCCCAAGCCACTGGGATTACAGGTGTGTGCCACCACACCTGGCTCAACAGACTAGCTTCTAATCAATAACCATTTGAATTAGCCTTGAAAAGAAGTGAGGAGCAGTTTTTAAAATCATTAAAAGAATTTCTTTCTGAAAAAGAAACAAAACAAACACAATATGCAGACAAAGAACTATATAAATACATATTGTCTAAAAGGTTTAATTATTTCATGTTATATAGATTTTTTTAGATTAAATTAGATGATGTCAGAGTAATCTTAAAAAGTGTTCCTGAAAAATCACATACTGCTGGGCGCGGTGGCACAGCCTGTAATCCTGCAGCTGGGGAGGCTGAGACAGGAGGATTTCAAGTACAAAGCCAGGTTCAGCAACTGTGAGGCACTAAGCAACTCAGTGAAACCCTGTCTCTAAATAAAACACAAAATAGGTCTAAGGATGTGGCTCAGTGATCCAGTGCCCCTGAGGTACAAAAAACAAAACAAAAACAAAAAACAAAAACAAAACCACATACTAATATTGTCCATTATACCATAATTATTTAAAATTAACTTTTTTGGTAGTTGTAGATGGACAGAATGCCTTTATTTTATTTGTTTATTTTTATGTGTCTCACACATGATAGGCAAGTGCTCTACCACTGAGCTACAGCTCCAGCCCTTAAAATTAACCTTTATATGAACATATCTAAATTAGAACTATCTTTCCTTTAGAAGCCATGTATTTTCAACACCCACACATGGGCGGGCGTGCGTGCGTGCGTGCGCGCGCACACACACACACACACAAATAAAATAAAGCAACATCAACTCTAGTTATTGTTAAATATAGGTAATTACTATGTAAATCCAGATAAGAATCATACCTGTATGGATATCCATGATATTTAGATCTGAAAATAGACAACATCCAACTGAAGAATAACACAACAAGTCCAATACCAGCCATACACATTACTACAAAAAAATAAGAGTAAAATGGTCAGGATAAACATCATAAATAACCAGGTCATAAATCTTAGCCACACTTCCAAAGTAAAATGGGCTATAATTTACTAAGAACTTTCTAAGTTTTCATGCCCATTTTTTTGTATTGGGGACTGGTCCCAGGGCACTCTACCACTGAACTACATCCCCAGACATTTTAGTTTTTTTTTTTTTTTTTAACAGGGTATTGCCAGGATTGTGAGGCTGGCCTGGAATGTGTAATCCTTCTGCCTTAGCCTCTCAAGTAGCTTGGACTACAGGCATGCACCACCATGCCTGGTGACAATTAACTTTTAAAATTTTCTTTAGGGGCTGGGGATATGGCTCAAGCAGTAACGCGCTCGCCTGGCGTGCGTGCGGCCTGGGTTCGATCCTTAGCACCACATACAAACAAAGATGTTGTGTCTGCCGAAAACTAAAAAATAAATATTAAAAAAAAATTCAAAAAAAAATTTCTTTAGCTTTTTTTTTTTTTTTTTTGGTACTGGGGAGTGAACTCAGGGGCACTCAATCACTGAGCCACATCCCCAGCCCTATTTTGTAATTTCTTTAGAGACAGGGTCTCACTGAATTGCTCAGTGCCTCGCCATTGCTGAGGCTGGCTTTGAACTCCTGATCCTCCTGCCTCAGCCTCCTGAGTCACTGGTATTACAGACAATTAACTTTTTAATCATAAAAGAAAACTGCTGGGCTGGGCAAGTGGCTCATTTGAAGAATGCTTGCCTAGCATGCATGAGAACCTGGGTTCAATCACTGGTACTACAAAAAAAAAGATGTATATGTGTATTTCATTATAAATTACACTGTTAGCAACTTTCTGCAAGAAATGACCATGTGTGAATATTCGAATGCATAAAAAGTCCACACAAACCAGCCAGGTATAGTGGTACACACATATAATCCCAGTGACTTGGGAGGCTGACAAGTGGCAAAGGACAAAAAGATAATTTACAAAAGGGAAAACACAAATGAATAAATATTTAAGAAAATATTCAACTTCATAATAATCTAAGTACAAAACAACATTTCCTCCTTATCTGATTAGCAAGTGTGTGTATATATGTGTGTGTATTTTAATGAGATAAACTAATGCTGATAAGATTGCAGTGAAACTTTATTTACTTTGGTACTGGGAATACAGGTGTGCACCACCATGCCTGGCCCCTGCCGTGAAATATTCTTAAATGCCATTAGTAAGAATGTAAATTATTACTCCAGTATGGTGGCTCTTGTGCTTGTAATCCCAGTGACTCAGGAGGCTGAGGCAGGAGGATCGCAAATTCAAAGTCAGCCTCAGCAACTTGGCTAGGCCCAAAGCAATTTTGTGAGACCTTGCTTGAAATAAAAATTCAAAAGTTCTGGGGGAGCTGGGGTTGTGGCTCAAATGGTAGAGTGCTTGCCCAGCACATGTGAGGCACTGGGTTTGATCCTAAGCACCACATAAAAATAAAATAAAGATACTGTATCCACCTAAAACTAAAAAATAAATATAGAAAAGTTCTGGGGATATGGCTCAGTAGTTAAGTACCTCTGAGTTCAACTCCTGGTACCAAAATAAATAAATAGTATGAAATGAAGATTAAACATGTACCATGATCATTACTTTTATTACAATAAAAGAAAAAAAATCTTAAACATTTCATAAAATCAGAATAGTTAGGTTATAATATAGAGTACAAATTGAAGATAATTTATAGGAAAATATTTATTAATGGTTTAATTCCAGTTTAAAAAGTATTGTGTCCAACTATAGTTAAATATTTTTTAAAAAGTGGGTACAAGATTCAAAATTTAACACATAGTCATTGTCAGTCATAGTTGAGCTTTTCTTTTTTAAATTTTGTTTTTGGTACTGGGGATTAAACCCAAGGGTGCTTTACCACTGAGCTGCATTCCCAGTCCTAAATTGCTGAGCCTGGATTTGAACTTGTGATTATGGGTATGTGCCACCATGCCCTGCACTTAAGTTTATTTTTAAGTTTAATGCTTGCCCAATAAATATTTGAACAGATATTCTTTTTTTTTTTTTAGTACCAGGGATTAATTCAAGGGCACTTAACCACTGAGCCACATCCCCAGCCCTCTTTTGTATTTAATTTAGAGACAGGGTGTCACTGAGTTGCTTAGTGCCTTTGCTAAATTGCAGAGGCTGGTTTTGAACTTGAGATCCTCCTGCCTCAGTCTCACAAGTGGCTGGGATTATAGGTGTGTGCCATTGCACCTGGCCAGATACTCTTTTAATTAAACAAGATGATTCAAAAGTTCATATGGAAAAAGAAATAAGCAAGAATATTCAGGACAAAGCAAAGAGGAGGTTAGTTGATCCAGATCATTCTATATGTCACAGTACCTACTTTTCCATGCTACAACTTTCAGAGAATTATTTGTAAAAAAGTAAGCTTTTACCTCATTTTTTTTTTTTTTTGAGGGGGGTACCAGGGATTGAACTCAGTGGCGCCACATCCCCAGCCCTATTTTGTATTTTATTTAGAGACAGAGTCTCACTGAGTTGCTTAGTGCCTTGCTTTTGCTGAGGCTGGCTTTGAACTCGTGATCCTCCTGTCTCAGCCTCTGGAACTGTTGGAATTATAAGCATGCGCCACCGTGCCCAGCATAATTTGTTTGTAATTTATGTTCCTTCCACATTGAGATAAAACAATCAGATCTAACCAGATAAAATATTAATAGCAATGAATTTTAAATAGTATAGTGAAATTCTAAAACAAAATTATCTATTACCAAGGTGTTTTATTGGGAACTGGGGCCCTTGATGCCACATAGCTCAATCTGGTCCATATTTTTTTTCAAATTTTGCATGTAAAACATATAACTTGGGGGCTGGAGATGTAGCTCTGTGGTATAGCACCTGCCCAGCATGTGTGAGTTCTATCATAGCATAGTCTATGTATATTACACACACACACACACAGAGTTTTAAAAATAGTTTTATAAGTCAAAGGAAATATATTACAATATTAGTATAAGGTTTTTTTTAGTGGTGAATAATGGGTAAAATTTCCCCAGGTGTTTCATAATGTTTTTTCCACATAGACTTTACTGAGCATACGTTATTTTTATAACAGTAAAGGACTAAGGGGACAAGTGATTAATTGATACTTCTTTTTTGTATTAAATGCAGAAGTGTTACATTGTGACATATGATGACTTACTCTTTCGCTTTCCAATATCCATGTCAGAGGTAGCAGCTTCACATAAAAGCACCATCCCTAAAGTAACCCCACCATCTTAAAAAAAACTGTTAAAGGAAAAATTCATAGGTACAAAGAAATACCACGTTACTATTCTAAGTTTCTCATGAAGAAAATAAAAATAAACAAATATAAAAGCTTCAACTCTTAATTATAATCAAATAAGTAAATTTGTGTACAGTGTGACACACAAAATGAAAATATAATACAAAATTAAAATTGGAAGATTAATACATTTGTGGAAAAGAAAATTGATATTTTAAAACAAACATCCTGTCTACAACATATGAAATATGAGTTTTTCTGAAATTATACTTTGAAATAATGTGCCTGGACATTCGGCTATTGCCCCAAATCCATATACATTTTTTTGGTAGTAGGAATTGAACCCAGGTGTGCTTTGTCACTGAGCTTCATCCACAGCCCTTGCATGCACCACTGTACTTGGTATCCATATACATTTTAAAATACTAGTCATTTTCAATATTTACACCTCCCAAAAAAGAACAAATGTGAAATATGCACAATTCAGAGAGAATACTAACACATTTTTATTTAGAAAATAATTTCTCCTAAATTTCAACAATTAACTTTTAAAGTACAAATTATTACTAAGATACCCAATTTAGTCCTAATAAAAAATGAAAATCCCACATGTGACATGACCTTATTTTTATTCAGCTTAATAATAGAAGCAACATAAATATAAAATGGAACCACCCTTGCAATAGGTAACACATTCCATGACTATTTTTTAAAATATTTTTTAGTTGTCAATGGACCTTTGTTTTATTTATTTGTATGTGGTGCTGAGAATTGAGCCCAGTACCTCATGCATGCTAGGCAAGTGTGCTACCACTGAGCCACCACTCCAGCCCACATCCCATGACTAGTAGAAAAGAGAAATTCACCTTGTGGTTTAATGAATATCAATAGCAGTAAAGAAAATCCCCAAATTAATTATGCATACACTCATGCACATTGCATGCTACTGCATGTGAGTATAATTAAGCTGAAAGGAAAAAAAATAAATGTTCAGATGAGGCTTTGAATTTATAATTGGCTCTATAATCTGATTATTCATCTCTTCATTACCATCTTGCACTCTCTCTTCAACAGCCTCAATAGTCTCTTGCTAGGGAATAATGCCTATTCGTCATGTTTTAGTTGCTCAGCCAAGTGTCTTCTCCAGCATTTTATTTTTTCTTACTGAGGTTCTTTATATGCAGGTTGAAACAATGACTGATTATCTCTATAGGCTTTAGTTACCAGGCACTCTCTGATTAATGGCTAAGACTTTTGGTTTTGGAAACTTGGAAGTGTTTGTCTTTGTATCCTAGCCTGATTTTTTTTTTTTTTTTCAGTACTGGGGATTGAACCCAGTCAGGGTCTTGCTCATTCTAGGCAAGTGCTTTACCACTGAGCATCCCTAGCCCAAATATATGCTGTTGCTGTGAATCAGCTTTTCATTTTTGGTGTGTACTCCCGAAGTCTGTGTGTGCTATTCTCAGCAGTAAAGAGTTGTTATGCACGTCCATATTCACTGTTTAGTTTCATTTATTTATTCTTTTTTAACATTTATTTTTTAGTTATAGGTGGACACAATATCTTTATTTTATTTTTTATTTGGTGCTGAGAATCAAACCCAGTGCCTTACGCATGGTAGGCGAATGCTCTACCTCTGAGCCACAACCCCAGCCCCATCATAATATTTATTCTTTCAATTTTTACTAACACTGCCTACTATATGGCAGGCATTATTAATTGCTATCATTACAAAGTTGAACAAAATGTAGACCCTCACATCTGTTTTTAGATGTCAGAAAGTGAATATTAGTGTGGATTCAAAAAATAAAAAGTCTGCTCTGCCATTCAAGAGGATAGAAGAACCCACACGTAAAGCAGCTGCAAAGTTCACGGGGAATATTTCTCCCTCGGATGTGGTGCAGTTGAAAACTGTCAAAACTGTCAAAATACCCCAGTCTTTGATTAACCACTGCTTTCTTACTAGAGAATACTGTTCTGTAAAATCATAAACTGTTTGAAGCTGGGGTTGTGGCTCAGTGTTAGAGCGCTCGCTTAGCATGCACGAAGCACTGGGTTCGATCCTCAGCACCACATAAATGTAAAATAAAGATATTGTGTCCACCTAAAACTAAAAAAAAAATATTAAAAAAAGGATAAACTGTTTGAAATTATATAAGTATGAAACATTCCATACTTGCTGGAGGACCTGATTCACTCAAGTTTACAAGCACAATTTCTAAGTAGCCACAATTTAGAAACAGAGGTATAGAGCTTCAAACAAGATTTTTTTTTTTTTTTTTGGTGGTAGTGCAGACTGAACTCAGGGCTTCATGCATGCTAGCCAATTACTCTACCATTGAGCTTCATCCCCAGCCCCAAACAAGCAGTTAAGATGAAAACCACACATTTATCTTAATTTTGCAGTTTCCTGGGAAACAGAACCATGGGCCTACTTAAAAGTTCAGAAGTGATATTGATCCCTTTATTCTCAAGCTTGTTGTCCCTGCCTTTTTTTTTTTTTTTTTTTTTTTTGGTACCAGGGATTGCACTCAGGGGCACTTGACCAACTGAGCCACATTCCCAGCCCCATTTTGTATTTTATTTAGAGATAGGGTCTCGCTGAGTTGCTTAGCACCTCACTTTTTGCTGAAGCTGGCTTTGAACTCATGATTCTCCTGTTTCAGCCTCCTGAGCTGCTGGGATTACAGGTGTGAGACACCATGCCCGGATTTTTCCCTTTTTTTATTTGAGTGCTAGGGATTGAACTCAAGGTCTTGTTCATGCTAGGCAAGTGCTCTACCACTGAGTTACATTCTCCAGCCCCTTATTTTGATTTTAGCCTAACAAAACAATGCTTCATTTAAATTTCACATAAATCCTTCCCTTCTTTCAAATCCGTATAACTCTTTGGTAAGAAGACATCTTTTGCTTCCTCGGCTCTGCAGTCTTCCTTGTTATTAATAAGCCAATAAATCTGGCTTTACCAGACAAGAGATTTGTCACAGGTGGGCTTTAGCTAACTGGGATAATTAAGATGGATGACACAAATAATATGGTTTCCAAAGGATATTATGACCTGCATTAGGAAAGCAGCCCCAAACAAAGAGAAAACTAGATTATGAGAAAATAGGCAAATCATAATACAACAACAAAGACTTATTGTAAAAAGGATACTGAACAGAAGAACGATGTGTGTTTCAGCTACAAACTGGGCTTGGCTGCTTCCATGAATGTAATTCTGGTTCAAGGAGAAAAAATGGAATCTTTAAATATACATTAAATTCTAGCATCCTAACCTTAAATGGGCTATTTAAAATCCTATGAAATTATTAATTTCACTTGATGTATATAATATATTTCGAGTCTATGACATTCATCAGTAAATAAATGATTTCTATAAAAGCCATTCTGTATTATTATCTATTTTTACATGTACCCATGGTATTGAGGATCAAACTTGATTTTCAGACAGGGTCTCACTAAGTTGTGGAGGCTGGCCTTGAACTTTTGATATTTTTGCCTCACCCTCCTAAATTGCTAGGATTACAAATGTGTGCCATGATCCCTGGCCTATTTGCCTTTTGATTGTACATGTGTTTGCAATAAAAAAATACATGAAAAAACTAGTATTCAAGTGTTCATAATGTAGACTTCATAAAGACATGTACCATGCTATTCTTGGTTATCAATATATCTGATATTTCTGAGCATATTGATTACAAACAGTAGATGCTCAAGTGCTTGATTAATTATTCTATTTAGCTTAAGACTTGATTTTCATTAGTAGACAACTTAGTCAAAAGGGCTCACCAGGTAGGATATGGAACTTCCCACTTTTAAGAGCATTGCATCATCTTATCAGTGACTGAAGCTTGTTAATCCAGAGAGATTGAAAAGTAAAGAAATCTGAGACTTCCCTTACCACATGTCCTGTGTGTGGATTCTTATGAGCATATGGTGGTCCTCTAATATGGTTCCACATTTGACCAGATGTCATAGCAAGCACAAAACACTAGGAGACAACAACAACAACAACAACAACAAAAAACAATGAAATATTCATGGTCAAGGGGGTCCCACCTTGATTAGACTACTAGGTATAATAAAAAGTACATCTGTTCAAATAATACATGAAATAATTTTCAGATAAATAAAGGTTCATCAATGTCTAAAAAATTGTTTTTAAAAGTTATAACCAAGCTGACAAATTTCAAAATTGAATATTGAAAAGACTTTTTAGAAGAATATTTTTAAAAGAGCTGCAAATTTTCAGAGATGACATTCTCATGTTTAGGTTGAATAAAAAGCAGATACATTCCACTCTTTGAAGGTAGGGCCATCCTAATGAGATAATGGAGGAAATACTCTGATCATAAGGCAGAAAATAAAAATATATAAAATCATTTCCCTCAGGTAAGAAGTAAATGAAATGCTTCTTATATAAATGAATGCTAACCTAAAAATACATCACTAGGAGTTTTATCAAAATTATTTTTTCTTCTAAAATTCACTCACCAAAGCTGCAAAAGCCCATCCAGTTTTATTAAAGAGAAATTCCATATTGCTTCTTCGAAGATACACAAGTCCACCAATAACAGCCAAGAGCAATCCCAACATAAGGGGACCAGCATAATTTGGGGGTCTAATTACTCTAATCTAATGGAAAGGAGATAAAAACATTTTAAAGTATAAAATTTATTTACTAATTAAATAATAATGAAAAGAAAGTTAATGTAGTTATTTTCAGAAAAATATATTTTTCCTTTATCCCAATCAAAACAGTCTATACAGTATCTTAAAATGGGATGGAAGAAGTATAGTATTTTGTTTAGTCACAATATAACATCTAATTAAGAAGGATCAGACAAGTTCTGCTAGATAGCTCATAGACTTATGAAGCCCAAGAGAGTGGTTTCTATGTTGAATTCAATAGGGTAACAGAGCATGTTCTGTAATTTCAGGATGATTCTGTTAAATGCTACTCATGAAAGAAATCCCACACCACTTCAGTAATATGCAAACAAGACCAATTACAGCCCCCCAGTAATAATAAAAGGGGACAATGGCAAAGTAACTGTCTTTTTTATTGGTTCTTTTTAGTTATACACGACAGTAGAATCCATTTTGATATAATTATATAAGCATGGAATATATTATATTCTAATAAGGGCCCCATTCTTGTGGATAGCACAATGGTAAGATTCACTGTGGTGGGCAAAGTAACTGTCTCCAAGTTAGGGAAACTTACATTGACATCAGTTCTGTCTGCAATCCACCGGGCAATCTGTTCAGCCGAAAAGCCCCTCACCTGTAACTCATATGTATCACCCCGTTTGGGTTTCCCTTTTGCAGGAAAGTTGATGAAAGTTGGAGCTGAATTCATGTTTAGCTGAATAAAGAGTAGTTCATGGAAATATTAGTTACCAAACAAATAATCTTAATAGAACTAATGTTTAAAAAAATAGGTATTTTAGGTTTAGACAGGTTAAGTGATTTAACTAAGGAAAAGGGTAGATGAGGATTCAAACACAGGCTGTGTGTGACCTTAACTATTATACTTTATTAATAAAATTTGAACTTCTAGTTAAAAAATGTACATTTTACTCCATTACATTGGGAAACTTCAAATACAGAGATATTTTAATCTGTTCAGAGAGAATATGCAAAAATACATTCATGACCACTGAAATGGTCATATGTAGCTGAAGAAAGCTCCAAATAAAATACTTTCTCAATTTGAAGAAAATGAGATCAGGATAATGCTCAAAAATTGTAGTGAAACCAATACAAAATGGTAGCCATATGCTGAAATAGTCAATTCTAAGGAAGTTTCATAAATGTTTCCTGATGAGCATCACATTTCACTACTCTCATCACAAGACCATATGCTTGAAAAGACAACACTGGAATTTCTAAGGGAAAAAAGAAACAACCCATTATATCTTTCCTAACTTGATCACTATACTTGTGGGAAAGAGAAAGTCTGACTAAGCCCTGGGGACATATCCTGACTAACAGATGCAAGCCTTCAGATCCCCTCAATGGAGACTAATCCTAAAATAGAGACTGTTGTAAAAAACAATGATAGCTGGTCATGTTGGCACATGCTAATAATCCCAGTGACTCACAAGGTTGAGACAGGAGGATCACAAATTTGAGCCCAGCCTGGGCAATTTAGTAAGAACTTATTCAAAATAAAGAACAAAAATGACAAGAAAAAAATGGCAAGGAGTGGGCTGGGGATATAGCTCAGTTGGTAGAGTGCTTGCCTCACATGTACAAGGCCCTGGGTTCAACCCCCAGCACCACCAAAAAAAAAAAAAAAAGGCAAGGAGTGTAGCTCAGTGGCAAAGTGCCCCTGGGTGGTTCAATCCCCAGTACCACACACACAAGAAAACCCCCACAATTATAGCTTTTAAATATCAGTCAATAAGATAATAAAACTCATTTGCTTTGGCTCTGTACTAACCCTTTACGTAATAACCCTCCCTCAATGGTTTTCTTTTTTGGTACCTGGGATTGAACCTAAGGGTGGTTAACCACTGAGCCACATCCCCAACCCTTTTCATTTTTTTATTTCAAGACAGGGTCTCACTGAGTTGCTTAGTGCCTCACTGAGTTGCTGAGGATGGCTCTGAACTTGTGATACTCCTGCCTCAGCCTCCTGAACTGCTGAGAATACATGCTTGCACCACCATGCCCCACTTCTTTTTTTTTTTTGCAATACTGGGGAGAAAACCCAGGGACTCCCATATGCTAGGCAATTCTTTTGTTGTTGTTTGGTACTGGAGATTGAACCCAGGGGCTCTCTAACACTGAGTGGTATTGCCAGCCCCTTTTATTTCTTATTTTGAAACACTCTTGAGGCTGGCCTCAAACTTCTGATCCTCCTGCATCAGCCTCCTGAGTCACTGGTTTTACAGACATGCACTAGCATGCCTGGCCCCTTCTTGGTTTTTGAAAATTTTAATATGAGGCAGGACTTTGGTAAATTGACCAAGATGGTCTTAAACGTGCAATCCTCTTGCCTCAGTCTCCTGAGCAGCTGGGATAACATATGGGCACCACCACACTAGATTATAACAATAACCTTTTAAAATATTTTTTGTAGCTGTACACAATAACTTTTATTTATTTTTATATGGTGCTGAGGATCAAACCCAGGACCTTGCACATGCGAGGCGAGCGCTCTACTGCTGAGCCATAACCCCAGCCCCAACAATAACCTTTTAACCGTACATTTCTAGGTTTTCCCCATAAGGCAAGAGGGTATACTGACTAGTGGATATGATTGTTTTGGTCTCTTTGACTGCATAATATGGTGAATTAATAGATTAGCCCTTTTGTTTCCAATGTCCATGTATTTTTATGATGTGGCAAAGTGCACAATATCTCCAGAAGTAGATGAGATCTGGCAACACTGGTAAAATTAAATTTTTGTGCCTGAAAAGCTAAGTATCAGATCTTGCAAAGTGTTCACTCTAACAAATACTGTCCAAATTTTTTTTTTTAAAGAGAGTGAGAGAAGGAGAGAGAGAGAATTTTTAGTATTTTATTTTTTATTTATCGGCGGACACAACATCTTTTTTTGTATGTGGTGCTGAGGATCGAACCCGGGCCGCACGCATGCCAGGCGAGCACGCTACCGCTTGAGCCACATCCCCGCCAATACTGTCCAAATTTTAAGCCAAACTCTTCAACTCTTTGTTTACTTAGACCACCTTTCGAGTTTTGAAAATGTGTGTATAAAAAGCTAAATAATTCCACAAATGTATATGCTACCATTCTTAAACCTCTAAAATGGGGGGCTGGGGTTGTGGCTCAGTGGTAGAGTGCTCGCCTAGCATGCACAAGGCACTGGGTTTGATCCTCAGCACCACATATGTAAAATAAAGATATTGTGTCCACCTAAAACTTAAGATGCTAGGCGCCATGGAATACGCCTATAATCCCAGGAACTCAGGAGGATGAGGCAGGAGAATACCAAGTTTGATGCCAGCCTCAAACTTAGTGAGGCCCTCAGTAACTTAGTAAGACCCTGTCTCAAAATAAAAAATAAAAGGGGCTGGGGGTTGGGGATGTAGCTCAGTGGTAAAGCACCCCTGGGCTAAATTCTTAGTAAATACAAAAAAAAAAAAAACTATTCAAGGTAGAAGAAATTTGGTTTTGTATTTTTACAAATCATTAACAGAAGCTATGTGTCTCTTAGGGGGCTAGGGATATAGCTCAGTTAATAGTGCTTGCCTCACATGCACGAGGTCCTGGATTCAATCCCCAGCACCACAAAAAAAAAGAAGTTATGTATATCTTGTTAAAATAGTTAAAAATTTTAATTTCTAAAACAATCCCATCTTGAACAGTAGAGAATAAGAAAATTATTTCTTTCTCTCATTCTATTTCCTTCCTTCCTCCCTCCCTCCCTTCCTTTTCTCTGTGCTGGGGGATTGAACCCAGTGCTTTGTATTAATTAAGTATGAGCATGTGTTCTATAGCTAAAGTATAAGTCCAGCCCTGAGAAGGTAATTTGTTCCTTTTTTTTTTTACTGGGGATTTAACCCAGGGGCAACTTACCACTGAGCTACATTCCCAGCCCTTTATAAAAAATTAAAAAAAAATTTTTCTTGTCGTTGTAGATGGACATAATACCCTTACTTTATTTATTTATTTAAAAATTTTTTTTAGTTGTTTATAGATCTTTTTTATTTATATGTGGTGTTAAGAATCGAACCCAGTGCCTCACACATGCCAGGCAAGTGAGCTACTGCTGAGCCATAGCCCCAGCCCCTGTTTATTTATTTTTATGTGGTGCTGAGGATCGAACCTAGTGCCTCCCACATGCAAGGCAAGTACTCTACCACTGAGCTATAACTCCAGCTCCCTCTTTTTAAAAAAGTTTTGAGACAGGGTCTCACTAAGTTGCTTAGGGCCTCACTAAATTGCTGAGGCTGGACTTGAACTTGCAATCCTCCAGCCTCAGACTCCAAAGTCTCTGGGATTACAGACATGAACCACCATGCCCAGCCATAGAAGGCAATTTCTTAAACTCTAGAAATTGTTTCCTTTGGTCTAACAAAACCTAAACATACTAACCTTTTATAAATATGCTGATTTTGATTTATGGAGATGGCTGTTTGAGAATATAATATAAATTGCACAATATTTTATTATAAAATAGGCACATTAAGCCATTTTTTTTCAACATTTATATGTGCTTAGCAGTAATAGGTACTAGATTTCTTTCTTTCTTTCTGTGGTACAGAAGATTGAAACCAGGGGTGTTTAACTACTGAGCCACATTTCCAGCCCTTTTTGTAAATATTTCTTTTTAGTTATAGATGGACACAGTACCTTTATTTATTATTTATTTTTATGTAGTGCTGAGGATCAAACCCAGTACCTCACATGTGCTAGGCAAGTGCTCTTATAACCCTAAGCCCTCAGCCCTTTTTTATATTTTATTTAGAGACAGGATCTCACTGAGTTGCTTAGGACCTCACAAAGTTCCTGAGACTGGCCTTGAACTCATGATCCTCCTGCCTCAGCCTCCTGAGCCACAGGGATTAAAGGTGTGAGCCACTGTGTCTGGCTAGGTACTGGATATTGATTGCCATTAAGTAAGTTACTGTATTCTGAAAAAGACTGTCAAAACAAATATAGTTCTATTTCTATAAGTTAACGTATGTAAGTGTATAACAGAAATAAAAGTAGTGTGAAAATACAAAAGAAGGTGACTCACTTTTCATCTGGAGGATTTGAAAAGGTCTAAAGGAAATATCTGAAATCAAGCTTAAAATGTAAGGAGAATTTTGAGAGAGGAAAGGGCAAAGGAAAGAAAGGATATCTCATATTGTTAGAAACTAACAATCAACGGTGCTGATATAAGATAGTGTGTGAGTTGGATGTGGTGGCGCACATCTGTAATCCCAGCAGCTTAGGAGGCTGAGGCAGGAGGATCCTGAGTTCAAAACCAGCCTCAGCAAATGCTGAAGCACTAAGCAACTCAGTGAGACCCTGTTTCTAAATAAAATACGAAATAGGGCTGGGGATGTGGCTCAGTAGTTGAGTATCCTTGAGTTCAATCCCCAGGACTCATCCCTCAAGAAAAACAGTGTGTTATACAATGATTATGCCTCATGATTTAGTGAGGCCCTAAGCAAGACCTAGCAAGACCCTGTCTCAAAATAAAAAATTTTAAAAAAAGGTAGGGGATGTGGCTCAGTGGTTGAGCATCCCTGGGTTCATTCCCTGGTATAAAATAAAATGAAGGAAAAGAAAGAAAGATAAGGAATTCTGACCTTTGTCTATACATCTTTTCTTGTGCTGGGAACTGAGCCCAGGGCATTACACATGCAAAGCACCACACTCAGGGTGTATAGCTCAGTAGTTGAACACTTGCCTACCACAAATGAGGCGTGAGGAACCCAATCCTAAGTTGTATTCCCTACAAAACTCAGAAAAAATTAAATTACATGGAATCTAGCCAAAATGCTTCATTAAGTAAATAATTTGGGAAATTCTATGTATTAGAGCCCCTTGTTGGAAAGGAAAATATAACACATATAGCATGTTAAAGTCTCAGAATTTCTGTGTTGGTAGACAATTATCCATGAGTTTCCTCCAGTTTTTGCATATTTTTTTGGGCAAAGTCATTGATTGCCTTTTTGTTCTGGACAATCTTTTCAAGGACATTTGCATAACCTTGGAAGAGAGAGATGGAGCCCCCCTTCGAAGCAAAGGGTAGGTATGTTTAATATCCTTAGAAACATTTGGGTTCCCAGGGATTGGTGGGCCTCTTCCATAATGCATCTCATCGGCCCTCTCTGCATATGCCATGTGGGAACCTGTACAATAAATGTGCTGATTTTCTGAATACTTGCTGTTGTTATGAGTATTAAAGTCCTTTATCTCTGACCCAGGAGTATTATATCTTTTGCCAGCATCCATGAAACTGTGGCAGGTTAACTTGTTAGCTTGAAAGTAGGGTAAAACCTCAGACCCCTCACAGTTCTTGAATCCTGAAGTAAAAAAAAAATAGTTTAATGTTTAAACTTGTGTTTTCTAAATTTAAAGATTTCCCTAAGAATTCTATTAATACCTTGTAGAAAAGATTCCAGTATTTTCTAGCAGGAAATATAGAGAGAGTGCTTCATGGAAGGTTAAGAGGACTGGTTAAAAGGCAACTGCAGGGCTGGGGTTGTGGCTCAGGCCCTGGGTTAGATCCTCAGCACCACATAAAAATAAATAAATAAAATAAAATAAAGGTATTGTGTCCAACTACAACTAAAATATAAATATTTTTTTAAAAAGGCAACTTGGGCTGGGGTTGTGGCTCAGAGGTAGAGTGCTTGCCTAGCATGTGTGAGGCACTGGGTTCGATCCTTAGCACCACATAAAAAAAAAAAAAAAGTAAAATAAAGGTGTCCACCTACAACTAAAAAATAAATGTTCAAAAAAAAAAAAAAGGCAACTGCATTAGCTGGGTACAATGGTGCATGCCTGTAATCCCAGCTGCTTGGGAGGATAAGGCGGGAGGATCACAAGTTCAAAGCCAGCCTCAGCAATTTAGCAAGGCCCTAGGCAATTTAATAAGAACCTGTCTCAAACAAAACAAAACAAAAAAACTGGGGATGTGGCTCAGTGGTTAACTGCCTCTGGGTTCAATTCCTGGTACCAACCCCACCCCAAAACAAAAAAGCAACTGCATTAATTCAAACAAGAGATGATGAGGGCATTGGAATATAAAGGGGTGATATCTATGACAGATGCTGTACAAGAAAATGAAGAAGACAAAAGTGTTTCTAATGATGTGGAACACAGGGAGACTGGAGTTAGGTAGAAGTGGGAGAGATGGGAATTTAATTTGGTACAAAATGAAGTTTTGGATTCAGCAGACATTCATGTGAAGATGTATATAGCAAGGAGTTACATGCAGATTTTTAAAAATTCAATTATACTGAGTAGAACATGTTCAACTATGAGTTAGACAAACTTATAAAACAAAGACAAAATTGAATCTATGTCCCTGAGTGTTTATACGTAAAAGGAAAGAACTAATAGAGGCTGAAGTTGAGGATACAGATGTGAAACCTCATGACTGTCCCTGAGTGTTTATATATAAAAGGAAAGAATATAGAGGCTGAAGTTGAGGATACAGATGTGAAACCTCATGACTGCAAAGCAGAAGGGTATGGTATCCAGTCCACAGGAAAAAGGTTCATCTTTGAATAACAGGAAGGATCTTTTCCACTAACACAAGAGGCAAGAGGATAAAGGCAGGTTGAACTAAGGACTTCAGTAGTATATAATGGTGACATAATGGTAGCATTCATGTTTTCATTTAAAAATTACTTTATAAATTATTCACTTGAAATGGTTAAAAATTTTTTAAATGTATAAGTTAAATATATGTATATTACTTGATTACTACCCAATTTCTACATTCTAACAGATTAGCACTAATTATTACCTTTTATGCTTAGCTCAAGTTTAGCTTTTAGTTCACCAACTATTCTAAATCTTAACCTAAGAGCAGTCCTATTTAAGTTCTTATAGTCAAGTGATAATGCATTCTACTTTTTTCATATTTTAATTATTCCTATAAGAGAATAAAGATCTTACCATCTGAAATACATCAGAGCCTTCATCAAAATCCACCATGGCAAAAAATATTCTGTTGGTAAATGCACTGGAATATCGCCAAGAGTTTGCTAGGATCTGGAATTCTTCATCAGCTTGCCTGGATGCAATCAGATTTGTGAAGACAACATTTAAAACAATTTCCAAAATCAATCTAGTTCATCAGCAGTAAAAAAGCACAGTTCAATTAAGCATTTTTTCTCTTTTTTTCAACTAAGCATTTTTTCAATGGGAGAAATATTAAAAATCATTGACTTACATCAGGCTCTGCTGACAAAGTTAGGATAAACCTTGTTTGGCCTAAGAGAAGCCTTATCCCAAGTGTTGGAGATTTCCCAGAAATGAGTAATTACCACACTACATTTCATACTTTGAACCTGTTTTTTATTCTAATGCTCTTTCAGTAATCACTGGAAAAATCTAGGTATTTGTCTCTACACCAATTTTGAGATGGGGTCTTGCTATATTGTCCATCCCAGCCTCAAACTCCTGGGCTCCAGCTATCCTCCTGCCTCAGTATCCCCAGTGTTGGGATTTCAGGCTTATACTGCTATACCCAGTTTCTATACTTTTCTGTTGGTAGTGCTGGGGATCCAACCCAGTGCCCAAGTGCTCAATCACCAAGCTACATCCCCAGCCCTATCAATAATTTTTAATACCCTAAGTTATTTCTAAGAATTCAAAGATAAGGTAAAAGTATTTTCCCCAGAGAATGAGGAAATACAGTACTAATCCACTTAAAAAATATAAAGATGCTACTTGATAAAAAATACAATCAGATGAATTATTAGGACGAAAGATAAGCCTACAGAATTAAGATTAATTAAAACCTTAAGTCATCTTTGACTTTTCCCGTATCTCCCATACACTTTCAGTTTGTAAGATCTGTCAATTATTTATTTGTGATTAACTTTCCTATTTGTTTCTTTTAGTGCTGGTGAACCCAGGGCCTTGTGCTTGCTAACCACAAATTCTACCGCTGAATTACAAACATCCCCAGCTACTCGTGTTTATTGCTATCATCTAGGGTCAGAACCTTAATATCTAATAGGATATTAAAATACTAACTCTACTTTCTCTTGCTGTAATCATTCTTACACTGTAATATACAGTGTTCTTCTTAAATTACTAATATCCTGAAACTCTTCCTCTTCTCAGAAACCATTATTACTGCTATATTACCTTTCAAATAGTCTCCAAGCTCTTTCTATTTAAGGTTATCACCTAACTCTGAATAGTGCATCTAGCTTTTATTTGGTCATATTACTAACCAATATCAAACAGGATTCCTTGATTCCAGCACCTATCTCTGTATTCGTGAGCACATCAGTGCTTCCAACCATAATATCCTGCCTCTATCTAAATCTGATCTGTTTCTATAATCCTAGAACAAGTCCTATGTCCTCCATTACAACAATCCTAACCTAACCACTCCTGTTATGTGTGTTTCCTGAAATTTTATAGTATTCATGATACATAAGGTTCACCTTGCTAGGTGTGGTGGTGCATGCCTGTAATCCCAGCTACTTGGGAAGCTGAGGCAGGAGTATTATTGCAAGTTTGAGGCTAATCTGGGCAATTTATTGAGACCCTGTCTCAAAAATATAAAAAGGGCTGGAAATATAGCTCAGTGGTAGAACATCCCTGAATTCAATTTCCAGTACTTGAAGAAAGCAAAAATGTTCTTCTGGTACTTAATCATAGATTGTCTTTTAATGCCAGCTAAATTTTCATGTGTGTATCTCAATTCCCTAACCCAATGATAACAGTAAGAAGTCTTTCCTGACAGCATAAAAACTACAGTATTATTCATATTGCAGTTGCTTAATTTTTTTTTTGGACCAGGGATTGAACTGAGGAGCATGCAATCATTGAGCCACATCCCCACTCTATTTTGTATTTTATTTAGAGACAGGGTCTCACTGGGTTGCTTAGGGCCTTGTCATTGCTGAGGCTGGCTGTGAACTCATGATCCTCCTGCCTCAGCCTCCCGAGTTGCTGGGATTACAGGTTTGCCACTGCACGCGGCCTTAATTTTTATTTGTTGAATGAGTTTAAGAAATTGTGAGTTAATTTTATTAATTAAGTAATTTCCAGGGGTTGAACCCAGGGGCACTTTACCACTGAGCTATATCCCTAGTTCTTTTTATTTTTTTTGAGACAGGGTCTTGCTAATTTACTAAGAGTCTCGCTAAGTTGCTAAGGGTAGCCTCAAATTTGCGATCTCCCTGCATCATCCTCCTTAGTGGCTGGAATTATAAGCGTATACCACTGCATCTGGCAAATATGAGTTAATTTTAAATTTGATCTTATAGAAAGATACCAGTAAAACAGTGGTTAGTAAGGATTCCATTAATTTGCATTTAATATGGAATGATGAAAGAGTTTGTATTTATACTCTGATATTTTTGTATACTCCTGATTGCTACTAAGTAAACTGAATTAGAAGTATTTCTTTTTTTAAAATATTTTTTTAGTTGTAGTTGGACACAATACCTTTATTTTATTTATTTTTATGTGGTGCTGAGGATCGAACCCAGTGCCTCGCATGTGCTAGGCAAGTGCTCTACTGCTGAGCCACAACCCCAGTCTCCCTATTTCTTTTCTTTTTAATATTTTTGATGTTGATGAACCTTTACTTGATTCATTTATTTGTACGCAGTGCTGAGAATCAAACCTAGTGCTCCACACATGCTAGGCAAGTGCTCAATTAGCTTAATTAGCCCAATTAGAAGTATTTCTAAAGTTTATTCAGAGTTAATACCTACTCCTTTTTCCTTCTTCTATTTACTTTTAATTTATATCCAGCATTCATCCCCCAAAATAAGCACTATGGAGCCAAATACCTTGAATAGCCCCTATCTCCAGTGAGAAAATGCTTTCAGTTAGCCAGGTATACAGGCTGCCAGTACTTGGAAAGACTTCAAGTTTTTACTGAACTAGTTTTACATAGAAGAGCTTTGCCATTTTATTTAAAGTAAATTCCCAGGTTAGATATACTGATCTAAAAATATGAGTAGGGCTGGGGATGCGGCTCAAGCGGTAGCGCGCTCTCCTGGCATCCGTGAGGCCCGGGTTGGATCCTCAGCATCACATACAAACAAAGATGTTGTGTCCACCGAAAACTAAAAAATAAATATTAAAAAAATTCTCTCTCTCTCTCTCTAAAAAAAAATTAAAAATAATAAAATAAAAATATGAGTACACACTGGGTGACATATGCCTATAGTCCCAGTTACTCAAGAAGCTGATTGAGCCCAGGAGTTCAAGGACAGCCTGGGCATCACAGTCCCTTAAAATAATGAGAAAATATGCCAGGTGCAGTGGCACACCTGTAATCCCAGCAGCAGTGGAGGCTGAGGCAGGAGGATTGCCAGTTCAAAGCCAGCTTCAGCAAAAGAAAGGCACTAAGCAACTCAGTGAGACCCTGTCTCTAAATAAAGTACAAAATAGGGCTGGAGATGTGGCTCAGTGGTTGAGTGCCCCTGAGTTCAATCCCAAGAGAGAGAAAATATGCATCTATATGTAAAAAAGACACTAAAAAATTAAAAGCTAATTTATTTTACAGTATCTATCATTTTTAATTGTCAATGGTGTTTTTTTAAGAGACTAGCAATCTTTTATCCCTAAGATCATTCATAAACAGTACAATAAAATCAGTAAACCATTATTTGATAAAAATTTAAGTGAGATTAGTTTCCATCACCAAGGTTGATAATCACCACAAAATAGCAGAGAACAAAGAAACATCCCTAAATCATATATCTTTGGCTTTTAAAATTATTTTAATTGGGTTGGGGTTGTAGCTCAGTGGTAGAGCACTTGTATAGCACATGTGAGGCACTGGGTTTGATCCTCAGCACCACATAATAAATAAATAAATAAATAAATAAAATTAAGTTATAAAAAATTATTTTAATTGACAAAAAATAACTACATATTTATGTATAGTGTGACATTTTGATATACATATACATTGTGAAATTATTAAATCAAGCTAATGCATCACCTCACCTTCTTATTCTTTTGTAATGAGAACAATTAAAATATATGTTTAGTAATTTCAAAATATACAATGCATTATTATTAATTGTGGTCACCATGCTATAACTATAAATCACTAAAACTAATTTGTCCTATCTAAATGAAACTAAAGATCCTTTGATCAACATCTCCCCCTTCCCCATCTCACCTGCATTCCTTTGATAACCATCACTCTAGTTTTGCTTCTCTAAGGTGGACTGCTTTTTTTTTTTGGGGGGGGGGTAGCAGAAATTGAACCCAGGTAGTGCTTTTTTTAATTTTCAAGACAGGGTTTCAGCCTCACTGAGTTGCTGATGTTGGCCTCAAATTTGCAATCCTCCTGCCTCAGCCTCCTGAATCACTGGGACATGCACTACTACACCCAGCTGTTAGACTTTTTAGGCTCTACATGTGAGACCACAGAAATCTTTGTTTCATAAAAAGTCCCCCATTTATTCATATTCCAAATTGGTATGAAGCTATCATTATTGCAATAATAAATATCTCAAATTCGGGGTAGACCACTTAAAATTTGGGGTGCTAGTGTCTTCCAAAAATGGAAGAATATTTGCTTTACCTACTTTTGGGGATTATTATACTAAAACAAGAGTATGAAGTTAAAAGTATATATAAATAATAAAATACTACATTGATGCTACTGGCACATAGTAATACATATGATGGCTACAACACTTTATTCTTACTCCCCCACCAATACATACAACCAAAAATTGATACAAAAGAGCAGTAGTATTATATGTTACTACAGATATCCTAATAAGGCATGTTGTTTATACTAATTTGGTTCTTCTGGGATTGAGAAATGGTTAAAATCTTATGATTTATTTAGTTTAATGTATAGTTGAAAGTTCATACTTGCAAACGACACACTGTCTATGAAGTTGGAGAGCAGTGAACATGACAATAACGGAGTAATTTCTTGGTGGGGCTTTAACAAGGCGACGGAACTTGTCTCCATTCATTCTTATTACAGGTCTTTTATTGGTCCACTCCATCAGCTGACTAACCTTTTCAGATAACACCATCTAAAAAAAAAGTGAGCATACTGTTAATATTCTCAACTTAGCATTTAAAGTTCGAAATGGTGGCACATGCCTGAAGTCTCAGCTATTTAGGAGACTGAAATGAGAGGGTCAATTGAGCACAGGAGTTTGAGACCAGCCTGAGCAACACAATGAGTCCCCATCTCAAAACAAAACAAAACAAAAAGTTACTTTAGCTAGGCAACTTATTTAAAACCAAGACTATCTATCAAGCAGAAGTACACAGAAAATGTGAGAGAACTAAAAACAAAATTGGGTAGTTGAGTCTAACGATAATTATTTTAAAATTTAGAATTTCATAAGACTTAATCAGATATTATAATTTTAATGAGTTACTTATTACTTACCAACAAGAGAAATACTACAAAACCATAAAGCCTTTCATTTGCCAAAGATTGCAAAGAATGTTGAATTAAACTAACTGGCAAATTTCATATAAAATTTTATTTATTTTGGAAAAAACTACGAAGAATACAAACTTGAAAATGAAGAATAAAGTGAGAGGAATTATTCTACATAATTTATTTTTACTATAAAGCTACAATAATGAAGACAATATGGCACTGTTGAAGGTATAAACACAAAGGTTAATAAAACAGAATAAAGAACCCCAGAAGTCTGGTGTGGTGGCTCATGCCTGTAATCCCAGGAACTTGGGAATCTGAGGTAGGAGGATCCTGTTTGAGGCTAGCCACCAGCTGGGGCAACCTGTCTCAAAATAAAATAATAAAGGTTAGGGACTTAGCTCAGCAGCAGATCATTTGCATAGCATGAACAAGGCCCCAATGTTTGATCCCCAGCCCTGCAAAACAAACAAATAAACAATAAAAACAAAAACAAAACCCAGAAATGACCTACACAAATACACCCAACTGATTTCTGATTTGTACAGAGGTGCAAAAGCAACTTAGTATAAGAAGATCCTGTACAATAAGTCATGCAGGAGCAAATGAAAATCCATAGACAAAGATATGAAATTCTAATGAATATAAAATCACATATGCCTTGTATAAAACCTAAAATGGATAATATACTTAATTTTATATAAGGTATATATGAAGACATACTTAAATGTTGTATGGACAACATACTTAAGTGTAAATTTTAAAACAAGACCACCTACAGAGCAGGAGAAAATATTTTCAGAACATATCTGACAAAGGATTAGTAGCTAGAATATGTGTTTGTGTATTTTTTAAAATAATACTGGGGATTGAACTTGGGACTTGGGCATTCTACCACTGAGCGACATTCCCAGTCCTTTTTATTTTGAAACAGGTTCTAAGTTACCAAGGCTTGTCTTGAACTAGCAATGCTGCCTTAAATCTTGAGTCACTGGAATTACAGGTGTGTGATGCAGCTCCTGGCTATATTTTAAAAAACCTATAAAACTCAACAGTAGCCAGGTATGGTAGCACGTGCCTATAATCCCAGCTACTCAGGAGGCTGAGGAAGGAGGATTCCCAATTCAAGGTCAGCTTCAGCAACTTAGTGAGACCCTGCCTCAAAATGAAATTAAAGGGCTGGGGATGTAGCCCAGCATGTCTTGGTTCAATACCCAGGGTGCAAAAACAAAAAGAAAACCCCCCAAAACTCAAACATAAAAAACGAATAATTCAATTAGAAAATGGGCAAAATACATAAGGTATTTAATTGAGGAGGAACTACAGATGGCAAATAAACATGTGAAAAGATACACAATGAGAGGCCTTGGTTTCAAAATCTAACACTGGGGAAAAAAATAACAGTTCAACATCATCAGCATTACATAAATGCAAATTAAGAACTTAAAGAGACACCACTATATAAATGTTACTAAATAATATATAATGACAAATACCAAACACTGGAGAAACTGAATCTCATACATTGCTGGTGGGGAATGTACTATGGTACAGCCACTCTGCAAAACAATTTGGCTGTTTCTTAAAAAAAAAAAAAAAAAAAAAATCAAGCAACTAAAGATACTCTTCCCATACAAACCTAGCAATTGCATTCCTGGGAAACTGATCCCAGAGAAATGAAAATTTATGCCTACACACAAATGGAGCTACATTTTGTTTCTTCCTTTTTAATAGTCAGTCATCATGAGGCAGTGGAAAAGTGGCACATTTAGACAAGGGAAATTTCAGTTCGAGATTAAACACCAACATATTTATTTATCCTTTTTTTCATCTCCACTCTTGATGTTCAAGAATATAGAAGCCAGGTGCATGTCTGTAATCCCAGCAACTCCAGAGGCTGAGGCAGGAGAATTTCAAGTTCAAGGCCAGTCTCGGCAACCTAGCAAGACTGTCTCAAAAATAAAAAAGGAAAAGGGCAGTTAATGTAACTCAGTGGTAAAGTGCCCCTAGGGTTCAATCTCCACTACCAAAAAAAAAAAAAAAAAAGGTAAGGAAAGGATAACAAAGGATGGAAGGCAAGAATATTGAATCTCAAATGTAGATTAATGCTAAGTTATGATTTTGCTCTTCTTTACAGGGGAATGTCTATAAAGGTCTGGGAAATCACGGAGTGGCTTGTCATTCAAAGCATTTGACCAGTTACATTTTCCGTTATCTAAGTCTACTGCTTTACATTGTAAGATACTTTGACATCTGATTCCTTCTTCTAGTCTCCTAGCTATTAGACAATAGAAACACACAGTATCTTACCACATAGCCATCATTAAGTTAAATATGTACTGAATTTCTATTTAATGGAACACAGCTGGGAATGGACTTACTTGCATACGTTAACATAAAAGGAAGAAAAATGATTGTACATATAAATACCTACATGGATCAGAAGGTTTTTTTTTTTTAGGAAGAGAGTGGTAAAATAGATTCTCATAATAACATGATTTGCCTTTAAAGCATGTCTGAATCCAACTAATTCTGAAACTAATTTTATTTCCTTAGTACAACTCTATGAATGATGTGAAAAACTGCATAAAATTAGTTTTAGCCAGGTGTGGTGGTGTACATCTATAGACCCAGATACTAAGGAGGGTAGGGTGGGAGGAACACTTGAGCACAGGAGTTCAAGACCAGCCTGGGCAATACAGTGAGACCCCCATCTCAAAAAACAAACAAATAATTTTGAAGCATATACAAAATAATTTCTAGTAAAAGTCACAAAATCAATATTCCACATATGGAAAACCAAATAGACTATAAACTTATAGAGACATATAGATTCTAAACCCAAAGATAAAAATAGATATACACTGGAAAGACTGGTACAACAAATAATTAAAACTTGTGGAACAATGAAACAAGTAGCTGGTAAAGGCTATGGGAAAGAGTAAACCAGGAGGTAGAGAGGCTAAGGGGAACAAGTGGTGATCAAGATAACTTCAAGAATCTGCTAGTTCTTCCCAGCTCAGACAGTATAGTTAACATTTTAAAATATGCATTCTATATTTTAAAGCCATCATTATTTTTGCTGTATTTTCAAATTAAATTTGACAGTTGCTAGAAAATTCAAACAATTTGGCTATTTTACTCACTGAAATGAGAGATCCTATTTGGGCCTATTTGAGAAAAAAAATGTGTAAAGCTTTAACAAGTATTTTCTACAGATTTGTATATTCTATCTATATATAACCACACAAATATATGATCATACTAATAAAACAAATGTGCTTTGAATAAGTTATAAATACATACAGTTTTCTTTCCTTTCCTTTCTTTCTTCTTCTTCTTTTTGGTTCCAGGTATTGAACCAGAGGCACTTAACCACTGAGCCACATTCCCAGACCTTTTTATATTTAGGATTACAGGTATGTGCTACTGCACTATGTAGAGTTTTCATACACAAAAATTCTTAAGACTTTTTTTTTAATCCAGGAAAATATAAAAATCTATAGTATTCCTCATCTTATGTATTAATAAAGTAGAAAGATAATATTTCTGGCTATTCAATTCCCAAATGACTTATCAAGTAGAAGATTTGATAATTAATTCAAACGAATTACATATTCTTTCGAAAGTTGATAAAGAGGGATAATCTTCAAAAGGCTGCTTACAGCAGTGACCACTAGGTAAATTTTTGAAAACCAACTGAAAGCAGATCACAACAAAGGACTAATTTTCAACTTTTACAATAAAAATTACATGAACAGGGCTGGGGATGTGGCTCAAGCAGTAACGTGCTCGCCTGGCATACGCGGGGCACTGGGTTCGATTCTTAGCACCACATACAAATAAAATAAAGATGTTGTGTCCACCAAAAACTAAAAAATAAATATTAAAAAAAATTCTCTCTCTCTTCTTTCTCTCTCTTAAAAAATTACATGAACAAAATCTAGAACATGGTAATTATAAGAGCTGATGTGGTGGCACATAAGTTTATAATCCAAGCTACTTGGGAGGCTGAGACAGGACAGTTGCTTGAGTTTAGGAGCTTGAGGCCAACCTTGACAAACATAGCAGGAACCTCTCAAAAAAGAAAAGTTGTGGGCTGCAGCTGTGGCTCAGTGGTAGCGCACTTGCCTGGCATGTGTGAGGCCCTGAGTTCAATTCTCAGCACCACATATAAATAAATAAAATAAAGGTCCATCAACAAAAAAAAAAAAAAGAAAGAAAAGTTGTATTTCTTTTCTTTCTTTCTTTTTTTTTTTTTTTTTGTACCAGGGATTGGACTCAGGGGCACCTAACCACTGAGCAGCCACATCCCCAGCCCTATTTTGTATTTTATTTAGAGACAAGGTCTCATTGAGCTGCTTAGGCCTTCACAGTGGCTGAGGCTGGCTTTGAACTCAAGATACTCCTGCCTCAGCCTCCTGAACTGCTGGGATTACAGGTGTGCACCAACATGCCTAGTGAAAAGTTGTATTTCTTATTCACAAAAATCTAATTTTTTTCTTGAAGTACTCTGGAATGAACCCAGGGACACTTTACCACTGAGCTACATCCCCAGTCCTTTCTATTTTTGAGATTTGGTCTTGCTAAGTTGCTGAGGGTCTTGTTAAATTGCTGAGGCTAGCTTGGACCTTGTGA